ACGGAGTCGACGATGCGTATTTGTAGGTTACCCCTATGGCAAGAAAGGTTGGCGTCTTTATGATTTAGAGAAAAATAAATTCTTTGTAAGTCGTGATGTTGTGTTTCAGGAAACTGTTTTCCCTTTTGCTAATGACGACACTACTTCACCAAACGTGTCTCCATCAATACTGCCTCCCTCCATTATTTTTCAAGACGAGGATTGGATACCGCCGCAGCCGGCGGTCTCTCTCCCATCACCTGTTGATACTCCGGTATCTACTTCACCAACTTCGTTGTCTCCGTTGCCTTTGACACGAACTCCGGCTCCAATATCGACTTCGCCGCCGGTATCATTGATCACATCATCAGATTCTTCGCCATCTTCACCTACTACGCCTATCCCTTCCAGCTCATCTAGCTCGAAAACAACGCCTCCATCATCACCTGAATGTTCTCCGGGTTTACCGGAATTACTTGGCAAGGGACACCGTGTGAAACAACGATCTGTTCTTCTCAAAGATTATGTTGCTCGTCATGTTGCAGCTCCCTCTACTACTACTACTACTAATAATACTACACCCCCTAATGCTTCCTCTCCTCCTCTCACTGATCCTAGTCTCTCTAAAACGGTCTGTGGTAAGATACTTGACTCCATTCCTATATCAATTTCTGACGATAAATTTTCGGAGTTGCATAAAGTTTTTATGGCAGCAATCACTTCGGACACAGAACCAACAAGCTATCACCAAGCCTCGCAGATCAAAGAATGGTGTGATGCTATGGGTTTAGAAATCACTGCTCTTGAAGAAAATCATACTTGGGATATCACTACTTTACCTCCAGGGAAGAAAGCTATTGGTAGTAAGTGGGTCTATAAACTGAAATACAATTCTGATGGTACACTTGAACGTCACAAGGCTCGTCTAGTGGCTCTTGGAAACCGACAAGTTGAAGGCTCCGATTTTACCGAAACCTTTGCGCCGGTTGCCAAGATGACAACGGTACGCTTTCTTCTTGCTGTTGCGTCTGCAAAACATTGGGAAGTTCATCAAATGGATGTTCATAATGCATTTCTTCACGGTGATTTAGAAGAAGAAGTTTATATGAAACTCCCTCCCGGTTTTCACACTAACGGTTCTAATCAAGTTTGTCGCCTTCGGAAATCACTGTATGGGCTTCGTCAGGCTCCTCGTTGCTGGTTTGAAAAACTCGCTAAAGCCTTATGCACATTCGGATTCAAGCAAAGCTATCCTGACTATTCACTTTTCTCCTTTGTTCAAAACGGAGTCATTCTACACGTTCTAGTCTACGTCGATGATTTTATTGTTGCGGGAAATGATTTATCTGAGATTGAACGTTTCAAGGCATACATGCATAAGTGTTTTCACATGAAAGATCTAGGCAAGCTGAAGTATTTCTTGGGCATTGAGGTTTCTCGTGGCCCCGACGGCATTTTTCTTTCTCAACGAAAATATGCTCTCGATATTATTACCGAAGCTAATCTTCTTGGTGCTAAGACATACTCTACTCCGGTTGAACCTAACCACAAGCTTGCCTCCGCCAAAGGTCCTGTTCTCAAGCGTCCCGAAGAGTATCGTCGACTTGTTGGCCGTCTAATATATCTCAGCATCACCCGTCCGGAACTGAGTTATATTGTTCATATTCTGTCCCAGTTTATGAACACTCCTCTTCTCCCGCATTGGGAAGCTGCCATTCGTGTTGTTCGCTATCTTAAAGGATGTCCTGCTCAAGGAATCATGCTTCGGTCCGATAGTGAGATCTCTTTAATCGCTTATTGTGATTCGGATTGGTCTGCTTGTCCTCTTACACGACGGTCTCTTAGTGCATATGCAGTGTTTCTTGGCTCTTCTCCTATCTCCTGGAAGACTAAAAAGCAACACACTGTTTCTAATTCTTCGGCTGAAGCTGAATATCGCTCTATGGCATACACACTTCGCGAAATCAAGTGGCTCCGGGAACTTCTTCATACTTTTGGCTTTCATCATACACGACCCATCCAACTCTTTTGTGACAGTCAAGCGGCCATTCATATTGCTTCCAATCCTGTCTTTCACGAACGAACAAAGCATATTGAATCCGATTGTCATCAAGTTCGTGATGCTGTTCAAGATAAACTCATCTCCATGGAACATATTTCTACCAAGGAACAGGTTGCAGACATTCTTACTAAAGCTCTACCGCGACCTGCGTTTGATAAGCTACTGTCCAAGTTCGGCGTTCGTCAAACTCACCGCCAACTTGAGGGGGGGTAATGGGCCTTAATGGATCTCGATATGTATATCTACTATAGATTTGGGTTTATCTTATGTACAAGGGAAAGCCCTTAGACTTTGTGTATAAATACCAACATTATGAGAATGAATACGACACCTTTTGCCAAATATTTCATAAAACGCTAACGAAACATTCATTGATGGAAATTTTTTGTGATGTTGCGACGTAAGAGGACGTGTGAAGGATGACGTATTGTTCGTGATGTATTATTATCTTTGAACAAACTAGCCAACGTTATATAATTAGATAAATGGTGTGCATAAAGCTTTGTTAACGCAATAAGCTACGTACAAGATGCTGAATCAAAAGCACAAACAAAGATCAATGATTTATTTGAAGAACGAGAAACAATAATCAAGAAGCTAATAGATGATTATAAATAAGTCCGAGAGATGTTGGAAGAGTACAAGACGGAGGTGACAGAGAAGTGATGCAAGAGACCAGTAAAGATGTTGCATCGAGGGAATCCGGGATTGTAGATCCGAAAGAAACGGTAAAGAATCTACGTAATGAATTAGAGTTATGTGGAAGCGGTGGTTGATAAGACGAAGATGCTTTTGACGGCGAAGAAGTGTGTGGTGGAGATAAAAGAGTTTTAAAATAGGGTCAGTTCGACTAAGAATCAACATTGATCATAGCAAAAAAGAAGACAATGGAGTTAGTTAGGCCAAATACAATATAGTTTGAAAGACCAAAATACTATATGAAGTTTTAGCGTTAAGTTTGAGATTATTTTTGTTTAGATGAATATTATCATCAATATCTATATGTTAAAAATAATAGTTTAATAATTATCATTATGCGTATATGCTTTTTACTTGTCTAATTGTTTTTGTGAAAAAAAAACATAAATGATATACTTAGATATATGATATCTAAGTATACGGTTGCATATTATATATCACTATATACCTACTTCAAAACAATCAATAAACATACCCTATCAGGAATAAGAAAAAGTATAAAATTTTTGGTTATTTATTGTGTTTAAATTACTTTTTGTGGTTTTTATCTACTATCGACTAATTACTATCCTCATGTTCAATATTTTTTATGTGTTGAAACCAATAATTTCTTTTCTTCCTTTTTTCTTCAAATTTTTTGGTAAATATTATTAGTAAAACAACAGTTTCACTAAAAATTTTGCAAATACCCCGCGCTTACCTACCAAACAAATAAGATGGAATTTGGATAATAATAAAATAAAAAGTAGAAAAAAGGCTTAAAAAAACGTGAAAACATCTTTTTAATTGATTTAAATTATTTTGATCTCTACTTTTCCTAAATAAACTATAATGTCTATTATTTTTCTTAAATAACTAATTATCTTTTTTTCAATATTTCTGGCTAAACCAGACTTTAACCTTATAGAAAGTGTGTTTAGGGGTTATAATTTAGTTGTCTAGGTGACAAAAATGGGCTTGGGCATGAATGGGCCTCCTTATTTGGGTAATTTGAGTCGGTCGAATTCATTGTTGGATTATAAAAGATGAAACGAAAAGAGGGTAGGAGGAGTCGTGTCAGTTGTTTTTTTTTTTCTTTTGTTTTCTATATCTTGTGCTCTTGCTCCGCAATCTCCTCATCACGCGACCGCTGCGTAAAGGTATCTCCTCCACACAGTATGATTTCCTTTTGATTCGTTGGATTAGGTTTCGATTTCTAATCTGTGAACAGATCCTTGTGATTTCTAGGGTTTTTAGTCATATCCGCAATCTCCTCATCACGCGACCGCTGCCTTAAGGTATCTCCTCCACCACAATATGATTTCCTTTTGATTCGTTGGATTAGGTTTCGATTTCCAATCTGTGAACAGATCCGTGTGGTTTTTGTGATTTCTAGGTCATATCCGATGGGTACAAATTCAGAGAAAACTCTTGCTCTTTCAGGTATTGTGACCTTTACGGTTGTTTATCTCAATTTTTAGTGTTTGAATTATTTAAGACTCAGTGTTTTCATATTTCCGCAGAACCGGAATCAGGCTTACGAATTCCTGCGCTCAACATGAATTTCAATTTTAATCCCTCAATTAATCCCTCAGACGTGGAGGACCTTGCCAAAGTAAATACCCTTTCTTTTTTTGTTTTAGGCTATGATAATTGAATTTCTGTGGAATAAGGTTGGATTTTGTTTTTTTTTAGAAACCAAAGTTCCAGAAATTGCTGAAATTACTGGCTAAAGAGCCTGATAATGACGACGAGTGGCAGAGATCTATTCCAGTTAAACTGTTAAAAGAACATATACCTGGGTTCGACCTAGAACATTTCATTGACGAAATTCGTGAGATGGAGAGGGAACCTGGATATATCAAAGGGAAGGAGAAGTTTTTTAACCGCTTACAGGTGGTAGCTCTTTCGGTCTTTCCTTTGTTATTATTTATCCTTTACATTCACTGATTGCTTTTTTATTTCCTTGTTCCAGGATCCACCAATGTCTGTTTGTCCCGTTGACGTGAACAATCCAGCAGCACCGGACGCTTAGAGCTTTTACCGAGCTCATGATATCAATCACTGTTACAATTCTGGTTTCATGTTTTTCTCATGGTTGTAATAAATATTACTATCTTCTCTGTAAAAGATATATAATCTTCCACCTTTCCATTCGTTGGGGTCTCCGTCACTTTTCTTACAACCATTCTCTATCACCATCATCCTTCGTTTTTGTTATCCTTCTCTCCAAAACCATCCATCACTTTTTGCGAACCAGGACCAAACAAAAGAATTTTAAGTTATCAAAGCATATTTTTTGCTTCAGCAACCAATAAGTAGATCCCAATTGCCTTTCACGATTTCCATCTCTGTTGTTAAACAAACCTCTCCAAATACAAATATCATCATATTCCACAAAGGCAGAAGTATTATCATGATATACACTGTTGTTGATGTCAATGCAAGCAAAGTAACAAAGATGAAGAAGATGCAAACACATGAAGTCTCGATGTTCTCTACTACGCGACCAACCAAAAGAGATCTCTCTTAAGGTACGAAACTAAGCACAACACGATGAACTCACTGCCGTAGCCCCTGGCCCGTTTGGGAGAACCATTCCTGTCGGGTTTTCTGCTGGCTGTACACGTGGTAGCCTTTTCGCTGTAGCGGTTTGAACAAGAGGAACATAAGTGAAAAGTGATTTAATGGAAAACAATAATTTGTTGGAAATAGCTTTGAAAGAATGACTCACCAATTTCGTAGAATATGTCTTTGACATTTGTTGCGGTTTTCGCAGAGGTTTCCATGAAGAAAAGGCTGTTCTCTTGAGCATATATCTCTGCCTCCTGCAAATAACAATATCAAGAACTACTTCATAACACAACTTAGTAATGACAAAACCAAGTCTGTAGGGATCGTAATAGAAGATTTCACGGGCACCAGTCGAATTGTTAATTAACATTGGAGCCAGGCTGCACCCCAGAGTATTAGTTAACATTTTCTCCCCGTACTTTCGAATTTAATCTCAAAGATTTTTGGCATTAGCAAAGCAATATCAGATAGAACAGGAAAGGAAGATTTGGTTTACCTCTGCAGACACCTTCCTTGCATCTAATAAATCAGCTTTGTTTCCAGCAAGAGCCATCACCATATTAGGGTTACCTATTCACATGAGAACAAAATCCGCATTAACATATAATGATACAAAATAAACCACACCAACTATCAGAAAGTAGGAATCATAAACTAGCTAAAACCAAAGTCAGCTATTCCATACCTTGCGCCTGCAGTTCCTGAACCCATTTCTTCGCCCTCTCGAATGACGTCTGTAGCAATAGAAAAACAAAAGTTAAGAATACCTAACTTTGAAAGACCAAAATACTATATGAAGTTTTAGTGTTAAGTTTGAGATTATTTTTGTTTAGATGAATATTATCATCAATATCTATATGTTAAAAATAATAGTTTAATAATTATCATTATGCGTATATGCTTTTTACTTGTCTAATTGTTTTTGTGAAAAAAAAACATAAATGATATACTTAGATATATGATATCTAAGTATACGGTTGCATATTATATATCACTATATACCTACTTCAAAACAATCAATAAACATACCCTATCAGGAATAAGAAAAAGTATAAAATTTTTGGTTATTTATTGTGTTTAAATTACTTTTTGTGGTTTTTATCTACTATCGACTAATTACTATCCTCATGTTCAATATTTTTTATGTGTTGAAACCAATAATTTCTTTTCTTCCTTTTTTCTTCAAATTTTTTGGTAAATATTATTAGTAAAACAACAGTTTCACTAAAAATTTTGCAAATACCCCGCGCTTACCTACCAAACAAATAAGATGGAATTTGGATAATAATAAAATAAAAAGTAGAAAAAAGGCTTAAAAAAACGTGAAAACATCTTTTTAATTGATTTAAATTATTTTGATCTCTACTTTTCCTAAATAAACTATAATGTCTATTATTTTTCTTAAATAACTAATTATCTTTTTTTCAATATTTCTGGCTAAACCAGACTTTAACCTTATAGAAAGTGTGTTTAGGGGTTATAATTTAGTTGTCTAGGTGACAAAAATGGGCTTGGGCATGAATGGGCCTCCTTATTTGGGTAATTTGAGTCGGTCGAATTCATTGTTGGATTATAAAAGATGAAACGAAAAGAGGGTAGGAGGAGTCGTGTCAGTTGTTTTTTTTTTTCTTTTGTTTTCTATATCTTGTGCTCTTGCTCCGCAATCTCCTCATCACGCGACCGCTGCGTAAAGGTATCTCCTCCACACAGTATGATTTCCTTTTGATTCGTTGGATTAGGTTTCGATTTCTAATCTGTGAACAGATCCTTGTGATTTCTAGGGTTTTTAGTCATATCCGCAATCTCCTCATCACGCGACCGCTGCCTTAAGGTATCTCCTCCACCACAATATGATTTCCTTTTGATTCGTTGGATTAGGTTTCGATTTCCAATCTGTGAACAGATCCGTGTGGTTTTTGTGATTTCTAGGTCATATCCGATGGGTACAAATTCAGAGAAAACTCTTGCTCTTTCAGGTATTGTGACCTTTACGGTTGTTTATCTCAATTTTTAGTGTTTGAATTATTTAAGACTCAGTGTTTTCATATTTCCGCAGAACCGGAATCAGGCTTACGAATTCCTGCGCTCAACATGAATTTCAATTTTAATCCCTCAATTAATCCCTCAGACGTGGAGGACCTTGCCAAAGTAAATACCCTTTCTTTTTTTGTTTTAGGCTATGATAATTGAATTTCTGTGGAATAAGGTTGGATTTTGTTTTTTTTTAGAAACCAAAGTTCCAGAAATTGCTGAAATTACTGGCTAAAGAGCCTGATAATGACGACGAGTGGCAGAGATCTATTCCAGTTAAACTGTTAAAAGAACATATACCTGGGTTCGACCTAGAACATTTCATTGACGAAATTCGTGAGATGGAGAGGGAACCTGGATATATCAAAGGGAAGGAGAAGTTTTTTAACCGCTTACAGGTGGTAGCTCTTTCGGTCTTTCCTTTGTTATTATTTATCCTTTACATTCACTGATTGCTTTTTTATTTCCTTGTTCCAGGATCCACCAATGTCTGTTTGTCCCGTTGACGTGAACAATCCAGCAGCACCGGACGCTTAGAGCTTTTACCGAGCTCATGATATCAATCACTGTTACAATTCTGGTTTCATGTTTTTCTCATGGTTGTAATAAATATTACTATCTTCTCTGTAAAAGATATATAATCTTCCACCTTTCCATTCGTTGGGGTCTCCGTCACTTTTCTTACAACCATTCTCTATCACCATCATCCTTCGTTTTTGTTATCCTTCTCTCCAAAACCATCCATCACTTTTTGCGAACCAGGACCAAACAAAAGAATTTTAAGTTATCAAAGCATATTTTTTGCTTCAGCAACCAATAAGTAGATCCCAATTGCCTTTCACGATTTCCATCTCTGTTGTTAAACAAACCTCTCCAAATACAAATATCATCATATTCCACAAAGGCAGAAGTATTATCATGATATACACTGTTGTTGATGTCAATGCAAGCAAAGTAACAAAGATGAAGAAGATGCAAACACATGAAGTCTCGATGTTCTCTACTACGCGACCAACCAAAAGAGATCTCTCTTAAGGTACGAAACTAAGCACAACACGATGAACTCACTGCCGTAGCCCCTGGCCCGTTTGGGAGAACCATTCCTGTCGGGTTTTCTGCTGGCTGTACACGTGGTAGCCTTTTCGCTGTAGCGGTTTGAACAAGAGGAACATAAGTGAAAAGTGATTTAATGGAAAACAATAATTTGTTGGAAATAGCTTTGAAAGAATGACTCACCAATTTCGTAGAATATGTCTTTGACATTTGTTGCGGTTTTCGCAGAGGTTTCCATGAAGAAAAGGCTGTTCTCTTGAGCATATATCTCTGCCTCCTGCAAATAACAATATCAAGAACTACTTCATAACACAACTTAGTAATGACAAAACCAAGTCTGTAGGGATCGTAATAGAAGATTTCACGGGCACCAGTCGAATTGTTAATTAACATTGGAGCCAGGCTGCACCCCAGAGTATTAGTTAACATTTTCTCCCCGTACTTTCGAATTTAATCTCAAAGATTTTTGGCATTAGCAAAGCAATATCAGATAGAACAGGAAAGGAAGATTTGGTTTACCTCTGCAGACACCTTCCTTGCATCTAATAAATCAGCTTTGTTTCCAGCAAGAGCCATCACCATATTAGGGTTACCTATTCACATGAGAACAAAATCCGCATTAACATATAATGATACAAAATAAACCACACCAACTATCAGAAAGTAGGAATCATAAACTAGCTAAAACCAAAGTCAGCTATTCCATACCTTGCGCCTGCAGTTCCTGAACCCATTTCTTCGCCCTCTCGAATGACGTCTGTGGCAATAGAAAAACAAAAGTTAAGAATACCTAACTTTGAAAGACCAAAATACTATATGAAGTTTTAGTGTTAAGTTTGAGATTATTTTTGTTTAGATGAATATTATCATCAATATCTATATGTTAAAAATAATAGTTTAATAATTATCATTATGCGTATATGCTTTTTACTTGTCTAATTGTTTTTGTGAAAAAAAAACATAAATGATATACTTAGATATATGATATCTAAGTATACGGTTGCATATTATATATCACTATATACCTACTTCAAAACAATCAATAAACATACCCTATCAGGAATAAGAAAAAGTATAAAATTTTTGGTTATTTATTGTGTTTAAATTACTTTTTGTGGTTTTTATCTACTATCGACTAATTACTATCCTCATGTTCAATATTTTTTATGTGTTGAAACCAATAATTTCTTTTCTTCCTTTTTTCTTCAAATTTTTTGGTAAATATTATTAGTAAAACAACAGTTTCACTAAAAATTTTGCAAATACCCCGCGCTTACCTACCAAACAAATAAGATGGAATTTGGATAATAATAAAATAAAAAGTAGAAAAAAGGCTTAAAAAAACGTGAAAACATCTTTTTAATTGATTTAAATTATTTTGATCTCTACTTTTCCTAAATAAACTATAATGTCTATTATTTTTCTTAAATAACTAATTATCTTTTTTTCAATATTTCTGGCTAAACCAGACTTTAACCTTATAGAAAGTGTGTTTAGGGGTTATAATTTAGTTGTCTAGGTGACAAAAATGGGCTTGGGCATGAATGGGCCTCCTTATTTGGGTAATTTGAGTCGGTCGAATTCATTGTTGGATTATAAAAGATGAAACGAAAAGAGGGTAGGAGGAGTCGTGTCAGTTGTTTTTTTTTTTCTTTTGTTTTCTATATCTTGTGCTCTTGCTCCGCAATCTCCTCATCACGCGACCGCTGCGTAAAGGTATCTCCTCCACACAGTATGATTTCCTTTTGATTCGTTGGATTAGGTTTCGATTTCTAATCTGTGAACAGATCCTTGTGATTTCTAGGGTTTTTAGTCATATCCGCAATCTCCTCATCACGCGACCGCTGCCTTAAGGTATCTCCTCCACCACAATATGATTTCCTTTTGATTCGTTGGATTAGGTTTCGATTTCCAATCTGTGAACAGATCCGTGTGGTTTTTGTGATTTCTAGGTCATATCCGATGGGTACAAATTCAGAGAAAACTCTTGCTCTTTCAGGTATTGTGACCTTTACGGTTGTTTATCTCAATTTTTAGTGTTTGAATTATTTAAGACTCAGTGTTTTCATATTTCCGCAGAACCGGAATCAGGCTTACGAATTCCTGCGCTCAACATGAATTTCAATTTTAATCCCTCAATTAATCCCTCAGACGTGGAGGACCTTGCCAAAGTAAATACCCTTTCTTTTTTTGTTTTAGGCTATGATAATTGAATTTCTGTGGAATAAGGTTGGATTTTGTTTTTTTTTAGAAACCAAAGTTCCAGAAATTGCTGAAATTACTGGCTAAAGAGCCTGATAATGACGACGAGTGGCAGAGATCTATTCCAGTTAAACTGTTAAAAGAACATATACCTGGGTTCGACCTAGAACATTTCATTGACGAAATTCGTGAGATGGAGAGGGAACCTGGATATATCAAAGGGAAGGAGAAGTTTTTTAACCGCTTACAGGTGGTAGCTCTTTCGGTCTTTCCTTTGTTATTATTTATCCTTTACATTCACTGATTGCTTTTTTATTTCCTTGTTCCAGGATCCACCAATGTCTGTTTGTCCCGTTGACGTGAACAATCCAGCAGCACCGGACGCTTAGAGCTTTTACCGAGCTCATGATATCAATCACTGTTACAATTCTGGTTTCATGTTTTTCTCATGGTTGTAATAAATATTACTATCTTCTCTGTAAAAGATATATAATCTTCCACCTTTCCATTCGTTGGGGTCTCCGTCACTTTTCTTACAACCATTCTCTATCACCATCATCCTTCGTTTTTGTTATCCTTCTCTCCAAAACCATCCATCACTTTTTGCGAACCAGGACCAAACAAAAGAATTTTAAGTTATCAAAGCATATTTTTTGCTTCAGCAACCAATAAGTAGATCCCAATTGCCTTTCACGATTTCCATCTCTGTTGTTAAACAAACCTCTCCAAATACAAATATCATCATATTCCACAAAGGCAGAAGTATTATCATGATATACACTGTTGTTGATGTCAATGCAAGCAAAGTAACAAAGATGAAGAAGATGCAAACACATGAAGTCTCGATGTTCTCTACTACGCGACCAACCAAAAGAGATCTCTCTTAAGGTACGAAACTAAGCACAACACGATGAACTCACTGCCGTAGCCCCTGGCCCGTTTGGGAGAACCATTCCTGTCGGGTTTTCTGCTGGCTGTACACGTGGTAGCCTTTTCGCTGTAGCGGTTTGAACAAGAGGAACATAAGTGAAAAGTGATTTAATGGAAAACAATAATTTGTTGGAAATAGCTTTGAAAGAATGACTCACCAATTTCGTAGAATATGTCTTTGACATTTGTTGCGGTTTTCGCAGAGGTTTCCATGAAGAAAAGGCTGTTCTCTTGAGCATATATCTCTGCCTCCTGCAAATAACAATATCAAGAACTACTTCATAACACAACTTAGTAATGACAAAACCAAGTCTGTAGGGATCGTAATAGAAGATTTCACGGGCACCAGTCGAATTGTTAATTAACATTGGAGCCAGGCTGCACCCCAGAGTATTAGTTAACATTTTCTCCCCGTACTTTCGAATTTAATCTCAAAGATTTTTGGCATTAGCAAAGCAATATCAGATAGAACAGGAAAGGAAGATTTGGTTTACCTCTGCAGACACCTTCCTTGCATCTAATAAATCAGCTTTGTTTCCAGCAAGAGCCATCACCATATTAGGGTTACCTATTCACATGAGAACAAAATCCGCATTAACATATAATGATACAAAATAAACCACACCAACTATCAGAAAGTAGGAATCATAAACTAGCTAAAACCAAAGTCAGCTATTCCATACCTTGCGCCTGCAGTTCCTGAACCCATTTCTTCGCCCTCTCGAATGACGTCTGTGGCAATAGAAAAACAAAAGTTAAGAATACCTAACTTTGAAAGACCAAAATACTATATGAAGTTTTAGTGTTAAGTTTGAGATTATTTTTGTTTAGATGAATATTATCATCAATATCTATATGTTAAAAATAATAGTTTAATAATTATCATTATGCGTATATGCTTTTTACTTGTCTAATTGTTTTTGTGAAAAAAAAACATAAATGATATACTTAGATATATGATATCTAAGTATACGGTTGCATATTATATATCACTATATACCTACTTCAAAACAATCAATAAACATACCCTATCAGGAATAAGAAAAAGTATAAAATTTTTGGTTATTTATTGTGTTTAAATTACTTTTTGTGGTTTTTATCTACTATCGACTAATTACTATCCTCATGTTCAATATTTTTTATGTGTTGAAACCAATAATTTCTTTTCTTCCTTTTTTCTTCAAATTTTTTGGTAAATATTATTAGTAAAACAACAGTTTCACTAAAAATTTTGCAAATACCCCGCGCTTACCTACCAAACAAATAAGATGGAATTTGGATAATAATAAAATAAAAAGTAGAAAAAAGGCTTAAAAAAACGTGAAAACATCTTTTTAATTGATTTAAATTATTTTGATCTCTACTTTTCCTAAATAAACTATAATGTCTATTATTTTTCTTAAATAACTAATTATCTTTTTTTCAATATTTCTGGCTAAACCAGACTTTAACCTTATAGAAAGTGTGTTTAGGGGTTATAATTTAGTTGTCTAGGTGACAAAAATGGGCTTGGGCATGAATGGGCCTCCTTATTTGGGTAATTTGAGTCGGTCGAATTCATTGTTGGATTATAAAAGATGAAACGAAAAGAGGGTAGGAGGAGTCGTGTCAGTTGTTTTTTTTTTTCTTTTGTTTTCTATATCTTGTGCTCTTGCTCCGCAATCTCCTCATCACGCGACCGCTGCGTAAAGGTATCTCCTCCACACAGTATGATTTCCTTTTGATTCGTTGGATTAGGTTTCGATTTCTAATCTGTGAACAGATCCTTGTGATTTCTAGGGTTTTTAGTCATATCCGCAATCTCCTCATCACGCGACCGCTGCCTTAAGGTATCTCCTCCACCACAATATGATTTCCTTTTGATTCGTTGGATTAGGTTTCGATTTCCAATCTGTGAACAGATCCGTGTGGTTTTTGTGATTTCTAGGTCATATCCGATGGGTACAAATTCAGAGAAAACTCTTGCTCTTTCAGGTATTGTGACCTTTACGGTTGTTTATCTCAATTTTTAGTGTTTGAATTATTTAAGACTCAGTGTTTTCATATTTCCGCAGAACCGGAATCAGGCTTACGAATTCCTGCGCTCAACATGAATTTCAATTTTAATCCCTCAATTAATCCCTCAGACGTGGAGGACCTTGCCAAAGTAAATACCCTTTCTTTTTTTGTTTTAGGCTATGATAATTGAATTTCTGTGGAATAAGGTTGGATTTTGTTTTTTTTTAGAAACCAAAGTTCCAGAAATTGCTGAAATTACTGGCTAAAGAGCCTGATAATGACGACGAGTGGCAGAGATCTATTCCAGTTAAACTGTTAAAAGAACATATACCTGGGTTCGACCTAGAACATTTCATTGACGAAATTCGTGAGATGGAGAGGGAACCTGGATATATCAAAGGGAAGGAGAAGTTTTTTAACCGCTTACAGGTGGTAGCTCTTTCGGTCTTTCCTTTGTTATTATTTATCCTTTACATTCACTGATTGCTTTTTTATTTCCTTGTTCCAGGATCCACCAATGTCTGTTTGTCCCGTTGACGTGAACAATCCAGCAGCACCGGACGCTTAGAGCTTTTACCGAGCTCATGATATCAATCACTGTTACAATTCTGGTTTCATGTTTTTCTCATGGTTGTAATAAATATTACTATCTTCTCTGTAAAAGATATATAATCTTCCACCTTTCCATTCGTTGGGGTCTCCGTCACTTTTCTTACAACCATTCTCTATCACCATCATCCTTCGTTTTTGTTATCCTTCTCTCCAAAACCATCCATCACTTTTTGCGAACCAGGACCAAACAAAAGAATTTTAAGTTATCAAAGCATATTTTTTGCTTCAGCAACCAATAAGTAGATCCCAATTGCCTTTCACGATTTCCATCTCTGTTGTTAAACAAACCTCTCCAAATACAAATATCATCATATTCCACAAAGGCAGAAGTATTATCATGATATACACTGTTGTTGATGTCAATGCAAGCAAAGTAACAAAGATGAAGAAGATGCAAACACATGAAGTCTCGATGTTCTCTACTACGCGACCAACCAAAAGAGATCTCTCTTAAGGTACGAAACTAAGCACAACACGATGAACTCACTGCCGTAGCCCCTGGCCCGTTTGGGAGAACCATTCCTGTCGGGTTTTCTGCTGGCTGTACACGTGGTAGCCTTTTCGCTGTAGCGGTTTGAACAAGAGGAACATAAGTGAAAAGTGATTTAATGGAAAACAATAATTTGTTGGAAATAGCTTTGAAAGAATGACTCACCAATTTCGTAGAATATGTCTTTGACATTTGTTGCGGTTTTCGCAGAGGTTTCCATGAAGAAAAGGCTGTTCTCTTGAGCATATATCTCTGCCTCCTGCAAATAACAATATCAAGAACTACTTAATAACACAACTTAGTAATGACAAAACCAAGTCTGTAGGGATCGTAATAGAAGATTTCACGGGCACCAGTCGAATTGTTAATTAACATTGGAGCCAGGCTGCACCCCAGAGTATTAGTTAACATTTTCTCCCCGTACTTTCGAATTTAATCTCAAAGATTTTTGGCATTAGCAAAGCAATATCAGATAGAACAGGAAAGGAAGATTTGGTTTACCTCTGCAGACACCTTCCTTGCATCTAATAAATCAGCTTTGTTTCCAGCAAGAGCCATCACCATATTAGGGTTACCTATTCACATGAGAACAAAATCCGCATTAACATATAATGATACAAAATAAACCACACCAACTATCAGAAAGTAGGAATCATAAACTAGCTAAAACCAAAGTCAGCTATTCCATACCTTGCGCCTGCAGTTCCTGAACCCATTTCTTCGCCCTCTCGAATGACGTCTGTGGCAATAGAAAAACAAAAGTTAAGAATACCTAACTTTGAAAGACCAAAATACTATATGAAGTTTTAGTGTTAAGTTTGAGATTATTTTTGTTTAGATGAATATTATCATCAATATCTATATGTTAAAAATAATAGTTTAATAATTATCATTATGCGTATATGCTTTTTACTTGTCTAATTGTTTTTGTGAAAAAAAAACATAAATGATATACTTAGATATATGATATCTAAGTATACGGTTGCATATTATATATCACTATATACCTACTTCAAAACAATCAATAAACATACCCTATCAGGAATAAGAAAAAGTATAAAATTTTTGGTTATTTATTGTGTTTAAATTACTTTTTGTGGTTTTTATCTACTATCGACTAATTACTATCCTCATGTTCAATATTTTTTATGTGTTGAAACCAATAATTTCTTTTCTTCCTTTTTTCTTCAAATTTTTTGGTAAATATTATTAGTAAAACAACAGTTTCACTAAAAATTTTGCAAATACCCCGCGCTTACCTACCAAACAAATAAGATGGAATTTGGATAATAATAAAATAAAAAGTAGAAAAAAGGCTTAAAAAAACGTGAAAACATCTTTTTAATTGATTTAAATTATTTTGATCTCTACTTTTCCTAAATAAACTATAATGTCTATTATTTTTCTTAAATAACTAATTATCTTTTTTTCAATATTTCTGGCTAAACCAGACTTTAACCTTATAGAAAGTGTGTTTAGGGGTTATAATTTAGTTGTCTAGGTGACAAAAATGGGCTTGGGCATGAATGGGCCTCCTTATTTGGGTAATTTGAGTCGGTCGAATTCATTGTTGGATTATAAAAGATGAAACGAAAAGAGGGTAGGAGGAGTCGTGTCAGTTGTTTTTTTTTTTCTTTTGTTTTCTATATCTTGTGCTCTTGCTCCGCAATCTCCTCATCACGCGACCGCTGCGTAAAGGTATCTCCTCCACACAGTATGATTTCCTTTTGATTCGTTGGATTAGGTTTCGATTTCTAATCTGTGAACAGATCCTTGTGATTTCTAGGGTTTTTAGTCATATCCGCAATCTCCTCATCACGCGACCGCTGCCTTAAGGTATCTCCTCCACCACAATATGATTTCCTTTTGATTCGTTGGATTAGGTTTCGATTTCCAATCTGTGAACAGATCCGTGTGGTTTTTGTGATTTCTAGGTCATATCCGATGGGTACAAATTCAGAGAAAACTCTTGCTCTTTCAGGTATTGTGACCTTTACGGTTGTTTATCTCAATTTTTAGTGTTTGAATTATTTAAGACTCAGTGTTTTCATATTTCCGCAGAACCGGAATCAGGCTTACGAATTCCTGCGCTCAACATGAATTTCAATTTTAATCCCTCAATTAATCCCTCAGACGTGGAGGACCTTGCCAAAGTAAATACCCTTTCTTTTTTTGTTTTAGGCTATGATAATTGAATTTCTGTGGAATAAGGTTGGATTTTGTTTTTTTTTAGAAACCAAAGTTCCAGAAATTGCTGAAATTACTGGCTAAAGAGCCTGATAATGACGACGAGTGGCAGAGATCTATTCCAGTTAAACTGTTAAAAGAACATATACCTGGGTTCGACCTAGAACATTTCATTGACGAAATTCGTGAGATGGAGAGGGAACCTGGATATATCAAAGGGAAGGAGAAGTTTTTTAACCGCTTACAGGTGGTAGCTCTTTCGGTCTTTCCTTTGTTATTATTTATCCTTTACATTCACTGATTGCTTTTTTATTTCCTTGTTCCAGGATCCACCAATGTCTGTTTGTCCCGTTGACGTGAACAATCCAGCAGCACCGGACGCTTAGAGCTTTTACCGAGCTCATGATATCAATCACTGTTACAATTCTGGTTTCATGTTTTTCTCATGGTTGTAATAAATATTACTATCTTCTCTGTAAAAGATATATAATCTTCCACCTTTCCATTCGTTGGGGTCTCCGTCACTTTTCTTACAACCATTCTCTATCACCATCATCCTTCGTTTTTGTTATCCTTCTCTCCAAAACCATCCATCACTTTTTGCGAACCAGGACCAAACAAAAGAATTTTAAGTTATCAAAGCATATTTTTTGCTTCAGCAACCAATAAGTAGATCCCAATTGCCTTTCACGATTTCCATCTCTGTTGTTAAACAAACCTCTCCAAATACAAATATCATCATATTCCACAAAGGCAGAAGTATTATCATGATATACACTGTTGTTGATGTCAATGCAAGCAAAGTAACAAAGATGAAGAAGATGCAAACACATGAAGTCTCGATGTTCTCTACTACGCGACCAACCAAAAGAGATCTCTCTTAAGGTACGAAACTAAGCACAACACGATGAACTCACTGCCGTAGCCCCTGGCCCGTTTGGGAGAACCATTCCTGTCGGGTTTTCTGCTGGCTGTACACGTGGTAGCCTTTTCGCTGTAGCGGTTTGAACAAGAGGAACATAAGTGAAAAGTGATTTAATGGAAAACAATAATTTGTTGGAAATAGCTTTGAAAGAATGACTCACCAATTTCGTAGAATATGTCTTTGACATTTGTTGCGGTTTTCGCAGAGGTTTCCATGAAGAAAAGGCTGTTCTCTTGAGCATATATCTCTGCCTCCTGCAAATAACAATATCAAGAACTACTTCATAACACAACTTAGTAATGACAAAACCAAGTCTGTAGGGATCGTAATAGAAGATTTCACGGGCACCAGTCGAATTGTTAATTAACATTGGAGCCAGGCTGCACCCCAGAGTATTAGTTAACATTTTCTCCCCGTACTTTCGAATTTAATCTCAAAGATTTTTGGCATTAGCAAAGCAATATCAGATAGAACAGGAAAGGAAGATTTGGTTTACCTCTGCAGACACCTTCCTTGCATCTAATAAATCAGCTTTGTTTCCAGCAAGAGCCATCACCATATTAGGGTTACCTATTCACATGAGAACAAAATCCGCATTAACATATAATGATACAAAATAAACCACACCAACTATCAGAAAGTAGGAATCATAAACTAGCTAAAACCAAAGTCAGCTATTCCATACCTTGCGCCTGCAGTTCCTGAACCCATTTCTTCGCCCTCTCGAATGACGTCTGTGGCAATAGAAAAACAAAAGTTAAGAATACCTAACTTTGAAAGACCAAAATACTATATGAAGTTTTAGTGTTAAGTTTGAGATTATTTTTGTTTAGATGAATATTATCATCAATATCTATATGTTAAAAATAATAGTTTAATAATTATCATTATGCGTATATGCTTTTTACTTGTCTAATTGTTTTTGTGAAAAAAAAACATAAATGATATACTTAGATATATGATATCTAAGTATACGGTTGCATATTATATATCACTATATACCTACTTCAAAACAATCAATAAACATACCCTATCAGGAATAAGAAAAAGTATAAAATTTTTGGTTATTTATTGTGTTTAAATTACTTTTTGTGGTTTTTATCTACTATCGACTAATTACTATCCTCATGTTCAATATTTTTTATGTGTTGAAACCAATAATTTCTTTTCTTCCTTTTTTCTTCAAATTTTTTGGTAAATATTATTAGTAAAACAACAGTTTCACTAAAAATTTTGCAAATACCCCGCGCTTACCTACCAAACAAATAAGATGGAATTTGGATAATAATAAAATAAAAAGTAGAAAAAAGGCTTAAAAAAACGTGAAAACATCTTTTTAATTGATTTAAATTATTTTGATCTCTACTTTTCCTAAATAAACTATAATGTCTATTATTTTTCTTAAATAACTAATTATCTTTTTTTCAATATTTCTGGCTAAACCAGACTTTAACCTTATAGAAAGTGTGTTTAGGGGTTATAATTTAGTTGTCTAGGTGACAAAAATGGGCTTGGGCATGAATGGGCCTCCTTATTTGGGTAATTTGAGTCGGTCGAATTCATTGTTGGATTATAAAAGATGAAACGAAAAGAGGGTAGGAGGAGTCGTGTCAGTTGTTTTTTTTTTTCTTTTGTTTTCTATATCTTGTGCTCTTGCTCCGCAATCTCCTCATCACGCGACCGCTGCGTAAAGGTATCTCCTCCACACAGTATGATTTCCTTTTGATTCGTTGGATTAGGTTTCGATTTCTAATCTGTGAACAGATCCTTGTGATTTCTAGGGTTTTTAGTCATATCCGCAATCTCCTCATCACGCGACCGCTGCCTTAAGGTATCTCCTCCACCACAATATGATTTCCTTTTGATTCGTTGGATTAGGTTTCGATTTCCAATCTGTGAACAGATCCGTGTGGTTTTTGTGATTTCTAGGTCATATCCGATGGGTACAAATTCAGAGAAAACTCTTGCTCTTTCAGGTATTGTGACCTTTACGGTTGTTTATCTCAATTTTTAGTGTTTGAATTATTTAAGACTCAGTGTTTTCATATTTCCGCAGAACCGGAATCAGGCTTACGAATTCCTGCGCTCAACATGAATTTCAATTTTAATCCCTCAATTAATCCCTCAGACGTGGAGGACCTTGCCAAAGTAAATACCCTTTCTTTTTTTGTTTTAGGCTATGATAATTGAATTTCTGTGGAATAAGGTTGGATTTTGTTTTTTTTTAGAAACCAAAGTTCCAGAAATTGCTGAAATTACTGGCTAAAGAGCCTGATAATGACGACGAGTGGCAGAGATCTATTCCAGTTAAACTGTTAAAAGAACATATACCTGGGTTCGACCTAGAACATTTCATTGACGAAATTCGTGAGATGGAGAGGGAACCTGGATATATCAAAGGGAAGGAGAAGTTTTTTAACCGCTTACAGGTGGTAGCTCTTTCGGTCTTTCCTTTGTTATTATTTATCCTTTACATTCACTGATTGCTTTTTATTTCCTTGTTCCAGGATCCACCAATGTCTGTTTGTCCCGTTGACGTGAACAATCCAGCAGCACCGGACGCTTAGAGCTTTTACCGAGCTCATGATATCAATCACTGTTACAATTCTGGTTTCATGTTTTTCTCATGGTTATTACTAAAACTTTATATCTTCTCTGTAAAAGATATATAATCTTCCACCTTTCCATTCGTTGGGCTTTTCTTACAACCATTCTCTATCACCATCATCCTTCGTTTTTGTTATCCTTCTCTCCAAAACCATCCATCACTTTTTGCCAACCAGGACCAAACAAAAGAATTTTAAGTTATCAAAGCATATTTTTTGCTTCAGCAACCAATAAGTAGATCCCAATTGCCTTTCACGATTTCCATCTCTGTGTAGCTACCAAGAACTCAAGCTCAACACTAGCAGCATTATGTTATGACTTGAAAAATCTCTGAAAAATTTGGATAACTTATATACGATGATGCATCTTAGCTACGTTTGTGTGTGTAATAAATCTGTCCCCTTAATGGTTTCGGTTAAATGAACTCAACTTCCAAGAGTTAACGCTAAAAAGGGCATGAAACGAAGGAGTTGGAAGTAAATGAAATACACAAGTTTGAGCACAAGACAAGGGAAGAGAGAGAGGCCGCACAGAGAGGAGAACCCAGATGAAAGCAACCCGCGAAGCCAAAGAGAAGGATAAGTTCGTTGAAGTTCACTTGTGGTGCAATACCAAGAGGAGTTCACTTTGGGAAGAAATCAGTACCCCAACTTCATCATTCTCTGAAGATCTATAGATCGGATTAGGAGCATACAGGGTTGTTTACAAATGCAATCTGCATCATACAATCGCCCTTGTCAAAGTTTTGCTTTTCGCTGAAAGTAATCTTTCCAAGCAATTCGATCGTACACAGCCCAAAAGTGTTTCTTTGTTTGAAAGTTTTCTTCTTTCTTTTTTCTGCTAGAGTCTTGGCCCAGAATCTTCCTGATTGCTTCGGCCTACCGATAACTGTTTATTTTTATTTTTTTTGGCTCAACTTCAAACTTTGCATTAACCAAAATATTACATCTCCATATCTAGTTCGACAATGGATTTTAACCAATTTGGCATAATAGAGTACACCTTAGGATCATAATTCTCTAGAGAAGAAGATTCCCTCGCCACTCTATCTGCTGCTTTGTTCCCCTCTCTCGATGAAAACACGAACTTGACCTCGTTGAAGTTTGGAAGCAGAGATCTAATATCTTGTAGCTGAGGGTCTAAATGAGGCCACCCTTCTCCACTGTTAAGCAACTTAATTAGTTCTTGGGCATCCGATTCAAGACAGTGGTATAGGTGTTTCTCTGGAGTTCTTCTTAAGAATGGTTTCGTTCAGGCTCATCCAGATAATACTTTGTTTGTCAAATTCACAGCTAAGTCATTCATTGCACTATTGGTATATGTGGATGATATCATGATTGCTAGTGATGATGATGAAGCAGTGAAAGAAATAAAAGCAATACTGGCCAATGAATTCAAGATCAAAGATCTTGGTCCAGTTCGTTTCTTTCTAGGATTGGAGATTGCCAGAAACTCTACAGGTATCTCTGTTTCACAAAGAAAGTATTGTTTGGATTTGCTAAATGATGCAGGCCTACTGGGTTGTAAACCAAGATCAGTTCCTATGGATCCAAAGATACATTTGAGTGAAGAAACTGGTGTTCCATTGACTGATTCTAAGCAATACAGAGAAATCATTGGACGCTTGTTATACTTGACGATTACAAGACCTGATATCACATTTGCAGTGCATCGTTTGAGTAGATTCCTGTCTTGTGCTACTGATCTACACTTACAGGCTGCTTTCAATATCCTCAAGTACTTAAAAGGAAATCCTGGACAAGGCTTATTCTACTCAGCTACTACGGATATTTGTCTAAATGGATTCGCAGATGCTGATTATGGGACTTGTACAGACACTAGAAGATCTGTCTCAGGTATATGTGTCTTTCTTGGAACATCTTTGATCATTGCTAAATCCAAGAAACAACAAGTGGCCAGTCAGAGTAGTACTGAAGCAGAGTATCGTGCAATGGCTATAGCTACAGATGAACTTATTTGGGTGCAACAGTTGTTAACAGCTCTGCGTATACTAGTTCAGACTCAAGCCAAATTGTTTTGTGATAACAAGTCGGCAATGCACATCGCTAATAACCCGGTCTTCCATGAAAGGACGAAGCATGTTGAGATAGATTGCCATACTACTAGAGATCAGATAAAGAGTGGTTTTCTTAAAGTTCTTCATGTTTCTACAGAGAACCAACTGGTTGATATCTTGACAAAGCCTCTACATCCGGGTCCTTTTCATTCTCTGCTCAACCGCATGTCAATCTCAAGTCTCTTTCTTCATAAGGATGATTCAGTTTAAGAGACTTGCGGGGGCGTATTAGATTATATAGTTAGTTAGCCTAAGTCTCCTTTAGCTTAAGCTAACTATGTATATATATTTGTAACAAACACTTTTAGAGTTTAATGAGAATTATCAGAACTTTATTCTCTTTCTCTCTTAAAGTTGTTAGATTCCTTGATCGCTTGTACAAGCTCTGGCCAGAGGGAGTGGCTTTTCTTAATCTCATTGTCTTTGAAAGCGGTGATCAGTTTCCGATCGAGCTCCTTGAGAAAGTGGCTACGGAAAGATACGCGGACGTCTTCCCCTCTGAAGCTCAAGAAAATATCATATACCCAATTGAGAGAAGAAGAAGAAGAACAAACCATAGAGAGATAGAGTGAGAGTAGGAAGCTACAAACAAAAATTTAGGCGAGTGAGACAGTAATAATAAAATCAGAGGAGAAGTAGTGAGGCGGACCGCGGACGTCACACATAAAGTCTTGGTGATTTATATAAAACATTAACTGCTTCTTCTAGGACATTCCTCTCTTGGTAACTTGTCTAAATCACGGCCATACAAGGTGAATTTTGTTGGCCGGTTTCATCCAAAGTCTTACAATTTCACTATTGTTTCTCAGACTTTTCATACAAAACTTGACGAATGTTTCCTATTTTTCTTAAGACTTTTTCAAAGAATTTTAAGCTTACCAACTTTCTCGTGTGAAAATGAGAAAATACTACACGATACGTATATTTATTCAGTATGTCAATTGTTTTGAGTTTTGACCATCCTACTGATTTTAGAATCAGGGTTGACAGAGAAACGTGTGAAACAAGTTACCAAAACAGATATCGTTGAATTACTGTTTCTTTTGACTGGTGTGCAGTGTACTATATACTAATAAACTGATTTAACCCATATTTTGATTATATTGAGTTCAGAAATCAGATTTTATTAACGTATATAATCCATCATGGACATCACAATTACAGTTCCGCGAAGGATAGTTACAGAGACCAAAAGGAAAAACATATACTCTATAGTGTATTCTTTAGACTAGAGAATTCAAGGTCGTGATATATATATATATATATATAATGAAACTGAGGTTTGAATTCAATGTGGTGTTATTCATAACTATTTGCCACCGAAAATGAAGCAGAAAGTCCCCTACAGTTAGAGCTGTCAAAATGGGCGGGCCGCCCATGGGCTGTCCGTGTCCAACACCTAATGGAACGGTCATGGAAAAGCCCATTTTGACATGGGCGTTAATGGGCATGGTCCTTAATGGATATGGGCGTTAATGAACATGGTCACTATTTGTCCATAACTAAAATGGTCAATCCTGTACCGGGCTAATGGACGTGGACAGCCCATTTTGACAGCTCTACCTACAGTGAATGCCACGTAATTTAAAGTCAACCTTAGAAGAGTCGAAAGCAGTGTATCATGCAGAAATAAAGAACAAACTGTTTTTTTGGTTTTCTAAAACATCAAAAAAAACAAAACATGAAAATCGTAAACAAGAAACAAGAAATGAACATTATAGCATCACAAACATCACAAAAGACTGGAAATACATGTCATCACTCGTTATTAATACTGAAAATTAATGCAAATAAATTTTTTACCACAATTACAAATTTGGTTGACGTGCTGGGAAAGCTAGGTTTTCATTGACCAGCGGCATCCACAATCGAGACTAATAGAAGAACAAAGTTTCTGCAAAGCTTTTGTTTGTCTGAAACAGAGATATCCATATGGTAACTATGTAAAGCCAAGTCATCCCGGCTTGGCAAATCCATTCTCAGCACCAAAGTATTATCTTGAGCTTGTTCATCTTCTCTTTTTCAACTGCTCATTCACAGATACAACAGATGTGGACTTAATTAGCAAACCACATTTCATTACATTATCTATCTTGACCATGTGCAACCAGAGCAAATTTATAACCACAAAGAGAAAGAAAATGAAAACTGAAGGGCGTCATTGTATTTGTATGAAATCACCAATATATTGACACCAAATCTTTTAGTTAGTGGCAGAAACTATTGAATAAATTCCTAATTAAGATTATCCCAAGCTCTGTGTCACAATTGATGTGGAACTAAAATAAGGTGGTTTATGAGATTTTTGGGTTACCTGAAAATGTCTCTCCATTGACTTTATTGGTGTTCTTCCTCAGTAATCTACAACAAATTAAAAGGAAAACAAATTCAGTAGTCTATTATACAAAATATATATAGTTTCTTATTGACTTTGAAAACGAATTGTGAGATATAAAGTATTATGTGCAGTACATGCTTAATGCTTACCCTGATTCTTTTTTTGCTTCTCTCTATTTCAACATTGCTGTCTCCAGATTCTTCGCTATGTTCAGTTCCAAGAACTTCTTCACCTGACAACCTTATGTACTTGGAATCAACTTGTGGATGAATGATAGGTTTTTGTTCGAAGTTGAAATTGAAGCAGTTGATGAAATTGTCAGGAAAAGAAGAGTGGGCCTCGCCAAGAAATGGTAGTTTAGATTGAATATTCTCTGATGCCATTAGCTCAACACTTGAACTATCATTCCAGCTAGCTTTAGTCAATGCCCCGCAGTCTGAAAAGTCAACATCCCCGAGATGTTTCAGTTTAGAAATGTGTAGGGATACACATTGTAATTTGTTGCATCCACCCATATAGTTCCAAGAAATCCTTTAGCTCTCTGCCATAGTGACAGAGAGCTAAAGGATTTCCATTAGCATACTCAACGACCTTCTTTGACACTTCAATAAGATTACTATCACTTGGTTCTTTTTCTGAAAACGCAAACCGGGTGAATAACCGTTGAGCCTCCTTCTTGTTCAAAGCCGGTATCTCGTAAACACTATCAACCTGACACTGATGAAGAACTTGTTTATCTCGGGATGTTATGATTATTAAACTTTCGGGACCAAAACAATGATCAAATCCTCCTAGGAAAGACTCAGCATCCATTGGATTGCGCACATCATCAAGAACAACAAGAACTCTTTTCTCTCTTAGTTTGTCGATCAAATATTCTTCCCGCAATACGTATAATCCCTTATCATGAAACGCTACGTGGAATTCATGGATGAAGCACTGAGTTTCAAAGTGCTTAGTCATTTGGTTAAAGGATTCTTGAGCAATGGCTGTCTTGCCAATGCCAGGCATACCCCAGATCCCTAATCGGTATATGTCATGAGATTGCTTGAAAAGCAAGTTTTCTATCCCAAGCAACCTCGAGTAGAACCCGATCATACCTGTTGGATACAACTTCTCCCGCACATCCGCAACGATATCTTCTACTAACTCCGAGTCACTGCAAGTTGTAAACATGATTTATCTTTTGATAGTAACTTTTCCTTCTCTCCAAATATCATTCATCAAGTAACCGTGTATATTAATAGTACATATCCAAAAAAAATGTAACCATGTATGAATACATAGGATGGGAGATATGACTAAAGTATTTCCGTTGATAGTAACGTTTTTATAATACATGATCACTTTTCAATATTAGCATTACTACACTTGTCTATATTTAACTCTAAGAACTGACGGCTGTGTTCTGACTGAATTTGGTTGAAAATGAAAAATATTTTATAGCACATTCCTATATTTATCAATCCTAATAGATTTCAATCACATAAATTTGAAGTCACTAGTTGTTTTAACAAACAAAAATGGTCATCACAAAGAAAATATTCAAGAAAAAAAAAACTCAATACTTTATAAAATAAATAATATCTTATTAATTAGTTTTTAATTATTATATTTTAACTCTCAGCTTTGTTTGATTCTATTTTTGTAAAAAAAAAGTCTTCATGTCTTTGTGATGACATTAAGAGTTACTCTAAACAGTAAATAAAGAGTTGACACAGAAACAGTAACAAAAATAATGTACAAACTTACTTTTGTTGTTCAATTGATTCATGGCAAAGTAATTTCGCCGCTTCTGTCAGACCCTTCCTCCATCTTTCTACTCGGTCTTTCTCATCGGAGAAAAAACCATGGTGCTTGGAAAAATCCTCTTTGAATCTTTCTGTCTGCTGCTCAACGATCGATCGAGTGACTTCACCATAAAAGACTGGAATCACCACCGGGCCGTCTTTACGCCGTTGGAGATCCATAAACGTCATGAGAGTTTCCAAGCAGAGAGGCGAGGACGCGTAGTTCTTGGAGAAAACCACCACATATACTTTAGATCTCTCAATCGCCAACTGAATTTCGTTGGCTAACTCGAAACCGGGCTTCAGTGTCGCCTCGGAGAGGGCGCAGTGCTCTGCAAGGAACACCGAGATACCCTGCCGCCTGAAAGCGGCATGGAGGTGGCTGACGAAGGAATGGCGTGTATCCTTAGAACTAAAATCGATAAATACGTCATGCTCAACCGTTCTTGAAGTCTCCATTGATTTTTTTTTTTTTTTCTTGAGGGTCCTCAAATCGTTTCTTACTCTAGAATTTCAATTGCTTTTTTCTCTCTCTCTTTTTGTCTCTCTCTCTCTTTGCTGCATTTTTAGAAGACTATCACCTAAAAACATTTCTTAATTATTTCACATTTTTAATCGTCAATTATGTTAACATGGTGCTGTCTAAACGAATTCAAAATAGATAGAGTCAAGATCAAGCAAAACCTTATGTTTTCTTTTTTAATATTTGTGGTCTTCTAAGTTCTATGAAAAGTTTTTGTGTTATCCAGCAAATATTTATCATAAATTTAGTGTGATACAGCCTTGGCGAACGATTAATTATTTAAAATATGTTGTCACCATCTTCACATCTACACTGTAGGATCATTAAAATCGTCAACATATTAATTAAGTTGTTACTGTTTTCTTCCAAATTTTATTAATATTGAATATAACTTAGACACTTTAGTTGTTGGATCTATAAGGATTGAACCCTAATTATGGAGCAGACTTCGTAGTGCGCAAATGAAAGTCTCGGGTCATTTTATTATATTTTCTCGACATCGATCTTATCATTATATCTTATTTTTCTGGTCATCGATCTGGTCATTTTTTAAAAAAAATTTCATTTGGTCATTTTTTTTTTTGGTCATTATATTTTATTGTTCTCTTCATCGATCTAGTCATTTTATTTTATTTTCTGGTCATAAATCTGGTCAATATTTTTTGTCATGATCTGGTCATTATATTTTATATTTTCTGGTCATTGATCTGGTCGTTATTTTTCGTAATCGATCTGGTCAATGTATAATGTATAGTCAACAATGGGTGTCCCTAATATGAAATAGTTTTTTTTAATAAGGTTTTATATTTATTAAGTGATATTTGGTATTATGCACTAGAATCATAATTTTATAAAAAAAAATCAGAAATTGATATTACAGGTTTTGATATTTGAGTATGGAATGATCCATGGTTGCCAGACTCATATCCCAAGACAGGGAGAAGGAGGAGAATGATAAAACATCCCAGTGGCATATTGTGATGATGCTTCACAAGTTTATGGATCTTGAGAGTGTCTTACTGATCCTGCGTTGATCCCTTGTGGCTACAAGCATATATTACAACATTGTTTTCCAAACCGTCGAACAGAACAAAATTTTTAACTGGAACGGTAAACTTTTACAGAACAGTGCAAAATTATAAGAAAGAGTAGTACATAAAAGTTATACAAAAAAAATTGAGAATAACGCTTTTGATAACACTTTTAATAACACTTTTGTGATTTATAACTGTCAAAACGATATACATTATACCATAACGGTATATAATTACCAATCAAAACCATTATTTAGGCTTTGCAATTATTTACTAAGTTAGTTCTGATCTATTGTGTTTTCAACCAATTATCTCTATAGAAATATACTCTCTTCTTGGGAGACAATAGATCAGAACCAACTTAGTTTTTTACTCTCTTCTTGGGAGACGTCTTTTGTAGTTAATTAAATCCTAACATTTACTTAAGTCGATAGATTTGTTTCTCCCATGCTTTATTTTTCGCATATTAAGTGTTCTCAAGTTTCCTCGTAGACAGCAATTAAAATAGTAAAAAACAAAACATGCACATGGGAAGAAGTTTCTCCGATAGGCACCAAATGGACTTTTTTTTTTCTTTTGTGTCACCAAAACATCCACCTCTATAATTATTTAAATTTAGAAGGATAAATCTAAACTATGTTCAAAGATCTATATTTTGAAAAACAAGAGAAGATAGTATAGCTTTTTCATATATTAGAAGAGATGATGAAAAAATATGCATTTAGCTACGTTTCTTATTATCTGGCAACCAGTGGTCCAAGAGCTTAGGTATACAAAAAAAAAAAAAAAAAAATAAACAAACGGAATCATTTAAGTCAATGGCACAATGACTTTCTTCATCATAGCAGTAATAAAATATAACTTTTTTTTTGGATAAATAAAACAGAAGATATTCAAATTCATTACTAATTGATGTTTGTAAAATAATCGATGCAGCAGGTATGCATGTGTTCACATTAATTTTGTTAAAAATAAAATTAAAATGTTGCAACCATTAATTGTGGTTATATACTCCCTTGTCACTATCTAAGACCGAAAAAAAAGAAAAAACAAAGACTTCCCACTCTATACATTTTCGGCAAATGTTCTATGGTAAAACAATCCTTAGACCAAAAAATCTCTGATGTCGAAGGTAAGTTCCTCAAATTTAGTCCACGATCCGCCACCGCAACATCAAGTGTTCATAAATTTTCGGGGAACGGAGCTCCGAAACAACTTCATAAGTCATCTAGAGAAGGCCTTGTTAAATAAAAAAGTCAACGTGTTCATAGACATTCGCGAGAGGATGGGAAAGGATAAGGAGAACTTATTCCAGAGGATAAGGGAGTCGAGGATCACGATTGCGGTCATTTCAAGCAAATACACGGAGTCAAAATGGTGCTTGAACGAGCTTGCAGAGGTCCAGAAGTGTGTGAAGGCGGAGACCATGGAAGTGTTTCCAGTGTTCTACAAGGTAGATGTTGGGACGGTAGAGGAACTGAAAGGAGAGTTTGGTGAAAATTTCAAGAAATTAGTAGAACAACATCATAGCGAAAGGGAAAAATGGGAAAGAGCACTTAAGTTTGTGACCACTAAGCTAGGCCTGAGAGTGGATGAAAAGAGGTAAATATTAAAAATATCTTAATTTAATTTGTTTTGGTTTTAATCCTGAAAATATCTTTTGTGGATTGAATCTTTTAATTAAATGATGGAAATATAGAAAATTGGGTACTTTTGTGTGTAAAACAATCAAACGTATAACAGTTTATTAATATTGAGTTACAAAACACGTCTACTTAAATCTAGTTGAAATCCTTAAGGTAGTGAACGAATGTATTATAGTCATATCGTTTATTAATTAAAAAAAAAATATTCCGTGTGTATAATTTTAAAAAATGTTGAAGGTTTTACACATAAATTAAGAAAACACATAATTTACTTTTAATTTGCCCCTTTTACATAAAAACACCATTAAATAAAATGAGTTCAACCAACTAATTTTTGCATAAAAAGTTGAAATCATCACTTAAAATGAAACAAAAAAAAAATCTCTAAAACATCAAATAAAGTGATACAGAGGAATTATAATATATGATTGCTAGTGTTGGGGGGATTGATCCAACACTAAGGACATGACCCATTCTGAATGTTTTCGGCGGGCAGAGTATCCTCCATACTATAGCATCGGTGCAACCAAAGCCAATCAAAACACTTAGTGGCCAACAATTATGGCAGCAATAGCAACACATGATTTTCTACCTTCTATCCTCAACTGAAAAAATCAACTATTGTAGTCCAATCCTTATTTCGCAGCTAGTAGCATGCAACACGCACCATATTAGTCCTACAACTTGAGAAGTTAGACATAAGTAGCGAGAAAACCCAACTCTCCAATGGGTCGACTAAGGATACTATAAAACTCCACCTCTGTCCGAGAGCAGAGGACGTTGAGAGACTGGATAACTCAAAAGGAATACCACAAAAAAAGTTAGCCACCACAAAACAATAGGTCGGATTGCATTTTCAAGAATGAGTAATTAATAGGATATTCACTCTTCCAGTGAGATCCTTCTGGGTGTGGGATCGAAAAGCTCTCTTTCAACCCGCACTACATTCTTCTTTTTTTCCACTACAAGAAATATCCACATTCTTAGAACGACATAAGTGCTATAATACGTCATTCATAACGTTTTAATAAACGCTATTTCTGCCGCAGTTATTATTGTTGATCGAAGATTATAGATGCAGATCAATACACATAAACAAATACGTTCCCTTTATAGAATAAGTAACAAATAGGAAAAACAATTGTTACAGAACTGAAACTTACTTTATGATCTCTTCTCTTCATAGTAAGAACAACGTATAGATTGATAGAGGCTTGCAATTGGCAATCTCCTAAGACAGAATTTAGCCCCTACTGTGGTGTACGTAGCTTTGTGTAGGCTTCTATCTTTAGGATACAACTATCGATCTCTGTTTTAACACCGTACAGAGACCCTAGCAAACTCTACTTTGAGATTCTCTGAAATTGATTTGGAGAAGAAGAAGATGAGAATCAATCCCAATCTTTCTCTCCTTTGTTTCTCTTGTATTGTTCTTCTCTCTTGTCTCTCTCTCCTTGTATCTCTACATCGTCACGTCTCTTATATATTAATGAAGCGATGTTTGATCCAAGAGATGCTTCTCTTATCTCAACCGGTGTATCGGTATAAACGTAACCAAGAGACGTGATGAAATTTGTACAAGTAGAAGGGTGTTTACATAAATACAAATGTTTATGTAAATAAACATATTTATATAAAATAAACACCAACAATTATAGACCCCCACATACGATAGCATTTTCGGCATGCTATGGTTAACTCCCACATACAATAGCATTTTCATATTATTGCACTAATCAAATGTTATAATATACTTTATTGTAATCACGTTTAATGTTGTTTTATATAATGTCGTAGATTTTTGTTCGCTAAAATAAAAAACTACTTAAAGCCTTCAAAATCATCATCTTCTTAAACTAGCTTCTTTATATATAACACATTTTGTCATTAGATAACACATTCCACGGGTATAAAGAAGCTAGTCGCCTAGTAGCGATGCTACATCTACAGATCTGTATGAAAGAACCTAGTAGCGATGCTACATCTACAGATCTTTAAACATGGGAGTATGATTTCACCTCTATGAAAAAGACTGAGGAAAAATCAGTGAGCTTGTTCACAAACTACATTATTTCTACACTAAGAGATAGGACGAAGCTATCTAAGATTACTATATTAGAAAATATCATTTCCTATATATTTTTATTCTTTATATAAAACCATTATAATAAGAAAAATGTGTTAATTTTTTTTTTTCATTTTCTAAGTTTCCAATTAAAAACAGAAAAAATTTATAGATTTATCTATTAAATTTTTCATTAAAATCTAATATATTTAACAACAATTCTGCTTTTAATATGATTTTCTATTTTTTTCAATACTATGTATACATGACATATCATTTCATATTTTAGCTGTCTAAATAGTTCTTGTTTTGACTTGATTTTCTGACATATTTGATAGTTTTGAGTGCGATATCATCGATCATGTCGTGGAAGACGTAATGAAAGCAATAAACGAAATACCGACGGATCAAGGAACAAAGAGTCCAAGAGGAAATATTATTGTATTGCCCGAGGGAAATATACGAGGAGAGTCTGAGAGTTCTTCTTCTTGGTCTTCAAAAGCGTCTCCTTTCTTTGGGATCGAAACACGCCTAGAGCAATTGAAAGAGAAGTTAGATTTTGAATCAAATGAGGTCACTCGTGTTGTCGGAGTTGTTGGGATGCCTGGTATAGGTAAAACCACTCTTGCCAAGAAAGTTTTGGAGGATTGGGGGTATGAGTTCTCGCATACAATGTTTCTAGATGATGTTCGTGAGAAGTCAAAGTATCCTGAGATCCATAACTTGCAGATGGAGCTCCTGTGTGGTTTAACGAATATAAAATACGAAAGAAAGGAACAAACAGAAACTGACCTCCTACTTAAATTTTTGAAAGTTGAGGTAAGCAAAAACAAAGTGTTGTTTGTTCTTGACGATGTGAGTGAGAAGAGTCAGATAGAAAATATTCTTGGCGAACGCGAATGGTTAAAAGAAGGAAGCAAAGTTCTCATCACCACAAACAGCAAGTCCGTGGTCAAGGGAATGGTAAACGAGACTTATCTAGTCCCAGGCCTCAGCGACAATGATGCCCTAAACTATTTTGAAAGACATGCATTCTCTGTTTCTTGCGAGCCAAGTTTCATGCAGCTGGCAAGAGAGTTTGTGGAGTATTCTAGGGGTAATCCATTAGCCCTCAAAGTACTTGGCAGTGAGCTTCTTGGGAAGCAAAAGTCGTACTGGGAATCAAAGCTTGGGACGCTTGCAAAAAGCCCGATCAGCAACACGATTCAAAATGTCTTGAGAATTCCGTACGATGATCTTAGCCTCCACCACAAGAATTTGTTCCTCGATGTGGCATGTTTCTTCAGGTTTGAAGACGAGTATCACGTGAGGAGTTTTCTGGATTCTTCGGTTCATGAGAATGTGAGCGAAATAAAAGATCTCGCAGATAAGTTCTTGATTAACATTTGTGGTGGTCGACTTGAGATAAATGACTTGATGTACACATTCGCAATGGGGCTAGAATCACAATCATCCTCTAAAGATTCTACAAGTGGGCGTAGGCTGTCCAACCATGGGGAGATCATCACTGTTCTCCGAAACAAAGTGGTAAGTGAGATTGATTTCTATTTACACATTTGTAGTTATTTCTGATCATTAACTAAATAACTAATTACATGTTAACTTGTTACACAACTTTCCAGGAAGCGACCAAGGTTAGAGGAATTTTCCTTGACATGTCTGAAGTACCTAAGGAAATGAAATTAGGCAGTGACACATTCAAAGAAATGAATGATCTCAGATACTTGAAATTCTTCGACTCAAGTTGTCCTAAAGAATGTGAAGCTGACTGCAACCTGAACTTCCCCAATGGACTTAGGTTTACACTGGAAAAAATCAGATATCTCCATTGGCTGAAATTTCCGCTGAAGATCTTTCCACGAAGTTTTAACCCGAAAAATCTTATAGACCTCAAGCTGCCTTACAGCCAGCTAGAGCAAGTTTGGAAGGGAGAGAAGGTAATATATATTCCATTATAATTTGATTAAATAGTTGTATTTGCAATCTTTAAATTTATTTATTTATTTATTTATCGCGGCTACAGGACACGTCGAAACTAAAGTGGCTGGACTTGAATCATTCAAGTAAGCTGCGAACATTGTCGGGTTTATCGTTGGCTCGAAGTCTTCAAAGTATGAACCTTGAAGGTTGCACTAAATTGGAGAGGGTTCACCACGAGCTAAAAGATATGGAAAGTCTATTATTTCTTAACCTGAGAGGATGCACGAGCCTCGAGTCTCTTCCAAGAATAAAGTTGATCTCTCTAAAAACACTCATCCTCAGCGGCTGCTCAAATCTTGATGAATTCAATTTGATTTCAGAGAATCTTGAAGAGTTATACTTGGATGGCACTGCGATAAAGGGACTTCCTTCAGATATTGGGAACCTCCAAAGACTAGTCTTGCTGAAATTGAAAGACTGCAAAAAGCTGTTAAGTCTCCCTGATACTATCAGAAATCTAAAAGCTCTTGAGAAACTAATACTCTCTGGTTGTTCAAGCCTTGTGAGTTTTCCAGAAGTTAAGCAGAACTTGAAGCATTTGAAGACTTTACTACTTGACGGGACCGCAATAAAAGATGTGCATGATGTTGTGCATCGCCTAAGTATTAATGAAGGCCAAATTTCTTCCTTTTCACACTACGATTTGTGTGAATGGCGGCATGGTATCAACGGATTATCATCAGTGCAACGTTTATGTCTGAGCAGAAACGATTTCACAAGCTTGCCAGAAAGCATCATTTATCTCTACAATCTCAAATGGCTTGACTTGAAGTATTGCAAGCAGCTCACATCTCTTCCAATGCTTCCACCAAATCTTCATTGGTTAGACGCAGACGGCTGCATTTCACTTAAAAATATCGAGAAATCATTGTCTCTACTATTGGCGGCAACAGAGCAGTTACACTCCACATTTATATTCAGTAACTGTACCAAACTTGATCAAGTTGCGAAGAATGGTATCGTGTCTTATGTTCGGAGGAAGATTCAGTTAATGTCAGATGCACTAGTCCACAAAAATAAGGTATTATCTCATCTCATTCACTTTTAGACTCTGAATGGTTACGGCGTATAGCAGAGTGCATTTTGAAGCTTAGGGTAACATACTTTTATTATAACATTGATTCTCTTTTGGTATTGAATTGTCAGGGTTCAATACTCGATGTGTTGATTAAAATCTGTTATCCTGGTTGGCAATTACCTGTATGGTTCGATCACCGGTCGGTTGGGTCAGAGTTGAAGCAAAATCTCCCTCGACATTGGAATGAAGATGGGCTTACCGGTATAGCTCTCTGCGTTGTTGTCTCATTTAAGGACTACAAAGATCATAATACCCGCCTCTTAGTTAGATGCACCAGTGAGTTCAAAGAAGAAAACGCGCCTTTGATTCAGTTTAGTTGCATTCTTGGCGGCTGGACAAAACGAATTAGCGATAACCCCGGAGACATCGTGGAGCCTTCTGGTCACGTCTTTATCGGTTACACCAATTTGTTACACGTCATGAAACGGGACAGAGGAGCGAAATGTGTTGGTACAGAGGTTTCCTTTAAATTCGAAGTGACCGATGGGGCAAAACAGGTTAGAAATTGTGAGGTTCTCAAGTGTGGCTTTACTCTTATCTACGCACCCACTACTAAACATGTTCATAGCTTGTGTACCCAAGTATACTCTGATCATGGCGAGAAAATGTCTGGTTCAACGACCGCTATTGTTGAAGAAAGATATAACCAGCACGAAACTGGAGCAACCTCTGTTTCATTGGTGGCTCCAACGATGGCGAGCGAGATCACAAAGGAAGTACAGCATTACGAAGCTAAAAGTAACGTAGAAGACATCCAGAATGAAGCTCCATCAAGAAACAACGTTGATGCTAATACAGAGAGTAGTGATCACAATACTAATGGTGGATCCATGTCACCAGGGAGCTCTGGAGAAGGAGAAGTTTTTAATAATGAATCTCCAAAGAAAGAGGAGACCAATGCAACAAGTTCAGCATTACCTTTAGAAGATAATACTAATGAAAATGGCACAAACAACTTATGTGAGAGGTTGGAGAAACCTATACGGCTTATTTGTCTTGTGATCTCCATTTATCTTGGTGCTGCTTTTGTGCTGAGAAAGGATAACAAAAGGAGATCAAATCAATAAAATATGTCTGATTCCAATGGTATTCACCGGAGTTGTTTCCCGATCATTTTCTGATCAATGAGAGTTTCAATCGCTTGGTTTTAAAGTAGAACTAGTTTACATTTGTCCCGAGCGGAATGGTCACCAAGTAGAAAGCCTATTCGCAATCGCCTAGACTCGTACAACCGATCTGATGATGGTCTACAAGTCCAATCAACGTGAACCCTAAATCGATTTGGGGATCACTTCTAAGGTACACCAACATTGTTTTGTGGAACCCTAAACCGAATAATATCGACTTTTATTTTTGTTTTTTTTGGCATCGTTTAATTTAGGTTTAATAATCAGTACGGTTCTGTTTTTTTTTGAGAAATTGTTAAAAATGCCCCTTTTTCAATACCCCTTTTCAAAAATGCTCCCTTTGAGAGTCCATTTTTAAGTTTGCCCTCTTTTATTTTTTAATGACCATTTTACCCTTATTTGAAACAAAATTAGGTCCACAAAATACAAAATATTTTTTGGCGGGAAAAGTGATCCCGCAATTTTCTCGCCAAAACACTTGTAAAAAACCTTTAAAATACCTTGTAAAATTTTCCCGTAAAAATTTTTCCCGCCAAAAAAATTTTTTTGCGGGAAAAGTGATTCCGCAATTTTTTTGGCGAAATTTTTTTGGCGGGAAAATTTTTGGCGGGAAAAATTTACAAGGTTTTTTAAAGGTTTTACAGAGTATTTACAAGTGTTTTGTAAGGTTTTACAATGTATTTTAAAAGGTTTTACAAGGTACTTATAAGGTTTTATAAGATATTTATAACTTGTAAAACCTTATAAAAAACTTGTAAAACCTTATAAAATTGCTTGTAAAATCTTATAATATCTTATAAATACCTTATAAATACGTTGTAAAACCTTTTAAAATACATTGTAAAACCTTATAAATACCCTGTAAAAAACCTTTAAAATACCTTGTAAAACCTTCCCGCCAAAAATTTAACGCCAAAAAAATTGCGGAATCACTTTTCCCGCAAAAAAAAATTTTTGGCGGGAAAATTTTTTGGCGGGAAAAAATTTTACGGGAAAATTTTACAAGGTATTTTAAAGGTTTTTATAAGTTTTTACAAGTGTTTTGGCGGGAAAAATTGCGGGATCACTTTTCCCGCCAAAAAATATTTTGTATTTTGTGGACCTAATTTTGTTATATTTCCTTATATATTTGTGATATATTTTATTAAAAGAAGGGTAATTTAGTCATTTTGTACATAAAAAGGGGTATTTTTAAAAATGGACAGCCAAATGGGGCATTTTTGAAAAGGGGTATTGAAAAAAGGGCATTTTTGTGAGTCTCCCATTTTTTTTCCATTTAACAATTAATAATAGGGGAATTGTTAATAATGCCACTTTTTCAATGCCACTTTTCAAAAATACCCCTTTTTTAAAACCTTATAAAAAATGCTCTTAAAAATATAAGATTTACCCAAATATGTATGTAATATTATTAAAACATACACAAACTACATTTCTATGTATCTAAAATCTTATAAATACTTTATAAATACCTTATAAATGCATTTTAAATACCTTTAAAAACCTTTAAAACATCTTGTAAAAACTTTGAAAAACCTTAAAAATCCTTTAAAATAACTTGTAAAACCTTTAAAAACACCTTATAAAACCTTATAAATACTTGGATCGAGTCTTCAAGTAGTAGTTACAATCCATAAGTACCTTATAAACCTAATAAAACTTTATAAAAATTTCAGATTTAAAAAGGGGCATTTTTGAAAATGGACATCTAAAAGGGGCATTTTTGAAAAGGGGCATGAGAAAAGGGGTATTTTTGCTAATCCCCCATAATAATAAACTAGATTTTACCACTGCAGGGTCAATTTTTTTTTTTTTTTTTTGGTCATCCGAAACTAAATAGAACTCAAAATAGTCATTCCTATAAAATGTTGTTTACATAAGTGATATGATGCGAGACTGTACGAACTTTTCAAGCCAGATTATCCGCTTTTACGTTAGCACTACGAGAAATTAAAGATAGAGAGAAGGTGGAGAACTCTTCCTTGTCGTTCTGAAATTCCTCCAAATACATTGAGAATGCCGGCCATTCGGTTGGAAAAGACACCATCTTCATCGGTCAGAACAGTCTGTAAAGAACGCTACCTCTTGATTATATGCATCAATCATACACTTCATTGCCCATGGTCGATTTTTTATAGAGAAATTGTCTCTTATACTCCCAAATCAGTTTTTGGGACAATAATAGCACTCAGAAGTTTATTGGACAAAAATAACACTTTATTTTTTATTTTTTAAACTAATAAATATTTATAAATAAATACAAAAAATAAAAATTCATTGTTAATATTTTCCCACCAAAACAATATTCCGTCAAAATTTTCCCACCAAAAAAATTTCCGTCAAAAGTTTCCACCAAAATATTTTCCGCTCCCGGAAAAAAATTATAACGTCAAAATTTTCCTGCCAAAAAAATTTCCATCCGAATTTTCCCACCAAAAAAAATCCAAGAAATTCAGAAAGAATTCTACGTAATTACGGAAAAATTTCACGAATCGTTAATTCTAAGATTTAATCTAATTCAAGTCATATATATCTAACATAAGTGATATAAATTTTGGATATTCAATTGACAGGAATTACCCATCGAAGATCTGCCTTCTTGACAACCCTTGGCTAAGAACTTTATTCAAATATAAATATTCACGGATTGGGATTTGAGGTGAAACATAAAAAATTAGTAAAAGTTTATATCTGATTCAATAGATGAGAGTGTAAACAGAGATGATATTGGTGAATAGATGAGAATTTCGCAAATTTGACTTAGATCTAGCGATGTTCTTATTTTTTTGTTCGGTATGTTTTGTTTTTTTTTCTAAAATAAGAGGGCAACGATTGTTCTAAAATAAAACTCTATCCAAATAAATTAATATGAAAATATGAAATGGGTTAAGGAGTATTTATAATTGGGTCATTATTAACTTCCAATTCGGCCCAACATGACTACTGGGCCAGTGACTTACGGTTTTGGTAAACCATGTTTTGAATTACCAAATTGTAATTTATATAAATACCTTTTTTGCCTTAACAAATATTTAATTTACAAGTTATTCAATTTCATACTCTTTCAAATTTGTATTACAAATTTTACAAATTTTACACACAGAACTTCTCCAACAGTTCAAATTATTTGTTATGCACCAAACTATATATTTTTTAAAACACATAAATTTTTTTTTGTTATGCTAAATTATATTTAAAACACAACTTTCAATTCTAAATTAATAATGAAACAGAAAATACTAAATTATGCACTATACTATTTTTTAAACACAAAACATAATTTTTCCATTATTCTGATTAAATTATGATATAAATACTATTATATTATTCACTAACACAACAAAAATATATTAATACAAACTTTATGCAAAAACATATATTAAAGTATACCACCCGCACAACTGTGCGGATCATGATCTAGTTCATAATTAATATACATAGTTTTAAAAATAATATTTAGAGAATACGGTTTAAAATCTTGATCATTTTTCATTATCAATGAAATATTTATATTCTTAGCAAAAAGAAAAGAAAAAAAAAAGGGAAAAAGGGTAAATATGGATATTTCCCAAAATTTTGTTTTGTAAATGAAATATACAAAAGAGCAAAACATATTTTGTGATGGATTCATTTTTAAAAATACATATTTATGTTTCATGTAGACAAAAAATTATATATTAGAGATGAGTGCAGATAAAGAATTTCTGAAAAATTATTTTTATTATTATTGTAAAATCTATATATACATTTTTGGAGACATTTTTGAAATAAATCCTAGAGTTGGCACTTATTTACAATGTAATGCCACTGACATTAATTTTTAAGAATTGTTTCTTAAATTAAATATATGTAAATTTAATTTGTTTGCGAAAAATCTGGAGACAATCTTTCCTAATATCTCGATATTGATCAATTATACTTTATTTAAATTAAGATTTTCAATTTAAAATTACTTACCATGTGGAAGCCCCCTTGGTCCATTGGTTGACCAAGGGTTAATTAATGCTTCTACACCCAGAGGTCTGGGGTTCGAGTCCCAGATAATGCGATTTATTAATAAATTTGCAGATTATTGGAGGCAAGTGTGCAGGAGATCTCCAGCGATGTACAATTATAGCCGTTCGTCAGGATTCTACGCAGAAAGAGGAGTGTCCATCAAGAGCATGAAGAAGGAGGCCATGATTCTACCCAGAAAGAGAAGTGTCCATCAAGAGCATGAAGAAGAAGGTGAAAGAGGTATCGTCTGTCGTGAATCTAATAAGGGTCGGAAGGAATTGTCCGTTGTAGAATCGTCTATGTAACAGTTCTCATAATTTGCAATAAATAATAAATTCAGACGACAAAAAAAAAAAATCACTTACCATATATTGCCCTATATTATCAACACAAAATCTCCCAAACAAATATTCATACCAACGAATTTAATACTACTAACAATCAGAATTCAAAAAATCCGTATAATTTTTTTAAAAAACAATTATTATAATTTATATATTCAAAATTAATAAATGTTGTATAATAATATGAATATTTGAATATATCAATATTTTAAAATAACACATGACGGATATATTACAGGACAAAATTATATGGCGGGATGAGTTTAAATCAAAATTAATAAAATTTTAAAATATCATTAACCCGTCCCTTCAATACGGGTTAACTCCTCATTTTATTATTTTGGAAGACTTGTAATATTAGACATATCGAACGAATCAATATAATTTAGTTGAGATTGTAGAAAATAAAAATTGTTGCGTAGTATACCGTTACTTAATGACAATTATAAACTATAAAGGGAGATTGACACAAATAGCCCCAAAAAAGTTGTTTTTTCCAAAAATAGCACCTCATTTGAAAAGTTCCACAAATAGCACCATAAACTTCAATTAAACTTAATGAAAATATAAGATAGAAAATAAAAAAGAGAGCAAACACTAATCTAATATTAAATTGAATCAAAATTGTTTTAAGAGAAATTCCTAAAAATGGCCCTAAAACAAGTTTTATTGACAATAATAGCACACACTCCATAAACTTCCAAAAATAGCACTAGTTAACTTACTATTAGTGTTTTTGTTCTAAAAATTTTATCACTACCTTTTTTTTTTTCAATAATACCACAACTTTTATATAAAAGCTATTCAACAAAATAAATTAGAAATAAATTTAAAATATTATATTTGGGTTCTCTATTTCCAATTTAGGGTATATATTTCTATCATTTAAAAGAGATTTTGATTCATTTTAATATTAGTTTATGGTATTATATTTGGGTTCCCTATTTCTAATTTAGAGTATATATTTTCACCATTTAAAAGAGATTTTTATTTTAATATTAGTTTGTGGTATTATATTTGGGTTCCCTATTTCCAAATTAGGGTATATATTTCCACTATTTAAAAAAATTTTGATTCAATTTAATATTAGATTAGTGTTTGCTCTTTTTTTTATTTTCTATCTTATATTTTCATTAAGTTTAATTGAAGTTTATGGTGCTATTTGTGGAACTTTTCAAATGAGGTGCTATTTTTGGAAAAAACAACTTTTTGGGGCTATTTGTGTCAATCTCCCTTGTTTTAAATTTATTTCTAATTTATTTTGTTGAATAGCTTTTATATAAAAGTTGTGGTATTATTGAAAAAAAAAACTAGTGATAAAAGTTTTAGAACAAAAACACTAATAGTAAGTTAACTAGTGCTATTTTTGGAAGTTTATGGAGTGTGTGCTATTATTGTCAATAAAACTTGTTTTAGGGCCATTTTTAGGAATTTTTCAACTATAAATTATAAATTTCTTAAAAATGATAAAATTTGTGAATTTTTATATATAATACATAATTTTAAAATTTTAAAAATCATAAATTTTAGAAAAAATTTACCCGCGGTGTACCCAGATCAATCCCTAGTTAAGGATTTAAAACATAAACATTTGAAACTTTGAGTAGTAAAAAGAATGTTTTTAATAGTTGGTGTACTTTTTATGAAATCTAAATAATTATGTGTACTATTCGTCTATGAAAAAAAGTCTCGAGAGTTGTAAGTCAACTAGCTAGAAACAGTTTTTTCCGGCGATGGCTGGATCTTCCTCACCCGAAGAACTGCCACCACAACATCAAGTGTTCATTAATTTCCGTGCCCGGGATTTGCGCTATGGATTCGTGAGCCATCTTGAGAGGGTCTTGAAAGATCATAAAATTAATGTCTTTGTCGACAACGGTGAGGACAGAGGCGAACACCTAGAAAATCTATTGACGAGGATAGAGGAATCGCGAATCGCTCTGGCTATCTTCTCCGAGAATTACACCGAATCAGCATGGTGCTTGAGAGAGCTGGCGAAGATCAAGGATTGTGTGGATAAAGACAAACTCGTGGTTATTCCCATCTTCTACAAAGTGGACCCATCCATCGTGAAAGGCTTGAAGGAAGGCTTCGGTGATGCATTCAGGGAGCTGGCGAAGGGTGATGAAAGGAAGAAAGAGTGGAAGGAAGCTTTGAAAGCGATTACCAAGATTCTGGGCATCCCGGTGCACGAGAAAAGGTAACTGATTTTGCCCAAGGGCTTGAGAATTAACCAAAATCTCGACCTTTGAATATTGTAGAGGTTGACATTAGAGATTCATGGAATTCAGGAAAGTAAAAGTTATTTTTCCGAACTCGTATTGCAGCAACGAGAGCGAAATTATCAGCGAAATAGTCAAGGAGGTTAAGAAAGTGCTTAACGAAATTCCATCGGAGGGAAGCCAAAAGGCTTATGTGGATCCATCAGAAAATAACGACACTCAAACTTCCTCAGGAGGCGAAAAGGATAAGACTTTTGGAATCACACAAAGACTGAGTGAATTGAAAGAGAAGTTGGAACTCAATAAACTTAGAAGTCATCTAGGAATTATAATAGGTTGTCTTTTGCTTCTCTTTTTTGTTCTGCAACAAATTGCTTATATGAGCACACGTTTAATGTAAGTACTATTTTTGCAAAAGACTTACAATTTTCATTTGCTACTTGGTTTTCTTAGAATTCTATTGTTGGAACAGAGATAACTTGACGATCAATTTGTTTTCTCTCACTTTCTTACCAGTGGTGAGGGCGGTGCCATCGACAGAATTGCGGTGAATTTACAAAAAATGCCGGAGTACATTCCTGCAGATGGAACAGAGAATCCAATAGACACATATACTGAATTTCATACTGATAAATATGAAGCAAAGCCTGAGGGATCTTCTTCTGCCGCTAAATTGAATGCCGATTTCCTTGACAGGTGACCTATGGAGACACTTTGTTTTTTCTAAACACTTTTGTCTTTAAAAAATTGACCATATGTTATCTCTTTTGGTGTGAAGAACTTTCACCAACTCGCGAATGGATGGTAAAGTCAAGCCACCGAATATTCAAGTTTTCATCAATTTCCGCGGAGATCAGTTGCGCAACAATTTCGTCGGATATCTCAGGCATGCACTTCGGATTAGTAAGATCAACGTGTTCATAGACAATGAGGAGCAAAGAGGTGAAGACCTCAACACTCTTTTCAAGAGGATCGAAGAATCTCGGATTGCCATAGTTGTGTTTTCGAGTAGGTACACAGAATCAAAATGGTGCTTGGATGAGCTCGTTAAGATTAAAGAACGTGTGGACGAAGGCCTTCTCAAGGTGTGATCAATAAACATTGGATATACCTCTATATATCTTATTCAGGAAAAGAAAGTGATTTAAGATCTATACCAATGTTATTACTTACTATTGAAGGTGCAGATTATACTTCTTTTGACACATATATATTACTAACATTGGGAATATCGTTACTCTCTATCACAAGGTGCTTCCTATCTTCTACAAGGTGACTCCAACCAATGTGAAAAGACTTAAGGGAGAGTTTGGTGACCATTTCAGAGATAAAGAATACATGTACAAGTCTGACGAACCTATGATAAAGCAATGGAAAGAGGCGATCGTGTTTGTCTCCCATAAGTTTGCCCTGACTTTGGATGAAAAAAGGTACGAATGTCAATTCATACTTTTAATTCTATGTTTTATTGAGAGGCGAAAGAAATCTCTAATCTAGAAACAAAATTTTGACATATTTCAACATTGTATATGCATTTACTTAATTATTTCATCGGAAATGTTAACGTATCGTTAGATCTGATTAAATTCATCGAAGTCGTGCAACTTTTTTATGTATATGTGCACGCTCATGTGTGAACTTTGAAAGAACTCATCTCGACCTTTTTTAAAACAAGTGTAGTAGCGTATTGGAGATTGATTTCGTTGAAACTGTCGTCAAGGAGGTCTTGAAAATGCTACAAGCCATATGCAAAGGGGAAAGCGGTCAATCCTCTTTTTGTGTGGAGAAAGCCTGAAGCTCAATTTTGATGGTAAAGAATCACACATGAAGAGCACCAAAACGTTGGTTTATGTACTTAAGCAGAGTAATTTATTATCATTAAATTATTGAGTTAAGGATTCTGGTTGTGTCTGTTTGAAAAAAATGTTTCTTTATAAGTAAAAACTTCGTAGCTCCTGAAATTGTTTCTGTCATTTTACCAAAAGTCTGATCATTGATTCTTTGAATGATATTGGGGTTAGCTTCGTTTTGAAGTACCACAGTTATATGACTCAACCATCACGAACCAACAAAAAGACAAATAAACCCCATCTCTTTTCTTTTTAATCTGTTTAAATTTAGACATGATTAACAATTGTTGATTCTTGTGGCTGGTTCGATCTTCAAAGGTAAAAAATCAAGTGAAGGTTATGTTGCCTCCTGTTGTTGTCTTTATAATCTTAGAACTATACTTCTCTTCTATTCTAATTTTTGCAATAAATTTCCACCTCTGTGTTTTTCACCCTTGTATATCTCTTCTGGATGCAGTAAAGAAATTTAAGTTATTTAAATGCTCTCACATAAGTTTAACAGAATTTTATGAACGATGGTGTAGGATACATTTGTATTGGGCCTCATATTTTTGAGGCCCATATTTCCAAATTTTTTTTTTTTTAAGGCACCAAAATTAGCAAAAAGACCTCATAATTAATAAAAACTAGGATATGACCCGCGGTACACCGCGGGTTAATTATTTGATTTTTTTTATCTTTTTATAAACTGATGAATTTGTTGTGTATAATATTTTCTATTGTACACCGCGGATCACATGCGTTGTAACTAAAAAATAAAAATTTAAGTTGTATTTTTTTGTTTAGTGTTTAAGATTGTATAATTGTATTTTGATTTGTTAATTCTAGGATTTCACCCATGGTATATTGTCCCGTATTAATATCGACCCAAACCCGTCCACCATATATTCCCGTCCTGTGAAATTAAACATCATTTTGTTATTTTTTTTAATAACACTTTTATTTAAAAGACATATAATTCGAGTCAATTTAAAAGTTTTTTTAAATGGTTTCCATAATATATATGTGTGTGTTTTTGGACCAACCCGTAAAAACAATTTATAGTTGTATCTTAAAATACTAAATAATTATATTTTGATTTGTTAATTTTAGGATTTCACCCGTGGTATACTGTCCCGTTTTAGATAATTGTAGAAATTAAGGAAAGATCCGAATGACTCAATTTTGGGTCTGAATAAAAAAAACGACATGACTAAATGAGCAATTTTTTCTTCAAAAATATTAATATAGATTATACACATACTTTTTTTCTTCATCGATTGAGTAATATATGTCCGTTTTAAAAAATTTGAATCATAACATATGCAGAAAAAAAAACTAAAATTTATTAACTATATATTTTTATAATAATTCCAAATATAAATATAAGATCAAATAAAAGTGATATAAGAATCATATATTTATGTTTAAATTAGGTAGAGAGGTTTTAGAAAATTAGTTCAAATTTGTTATATTAGCATTAAATCATCATATTTGATTTTCTTATCTATAAAAATCGTAAAGAATATACCATAAGTAAAGAGTTTAGATATAGTAATTAGTTGAGAAAATATATATATATATATATATTTTAGATTTGATTAATTAATTTCTTTTTTAAATTTTGCCAAAACTTAAGGAAAGATCCGATTGTAGATTTTCGGATCAAAATCAGAAAAAAAAAACCTGACCCGATTGGAGGAGCAAAAATGTACATCAAAAATGTTAAGTAGATTTACTATTTATTAGGTTTTGCAATTCCGATTCTATAAAATATATTATATTTTATTATATGTGATATAGTTGAAAATCACAAAACTTGTCAAAACAAAATTCGTATAATTATAAAATTATTTGGTTAATTAATATAATAAAAATAGTATAAAATATAATTATCCAAATTTGTTTGAAATCAAATTTAGATTTGAGTAATATAAAAGACAACAAATAATTTTTACCCAATATCTACATCTCTACAAACCATTGTACTAATGTTTTTTGTTTGCAAACCATTTTACATTTTTAACAAAATATACACCAGATACAAAATATATAATATATTCGTTAAAAAATATTAATAGAAAAGACTATAGTTTTCTGCCACTTTGCCATAAATAAAATAACAAAAAAAAAAGAAGATAAACCATCGTCTGACAACGTTTTTTTTTGTCTTTTGGTAATTGATTGCATAAAATTAATTTGGTAGGAAGAAGGCCATAGTTCTTACAAAGTTCATTCAGAAAGTAAAGACCCACTAAGAATATAATTGAACCTTAACAATTAAAAGTAGCCCATAATTGGTAGATTAGACCCAAACTGGGAGGAGAGTCAAAACTGCAAAAATTTCGCTAAATAATTTTTGGTTTTCGGAAATTATTTTCTTGACGGTGACTTCTATGGAGGGGATGAGGAAGTCCGGTGAATTGTAGATGTGATGAAGCCGATTGTTTTGTTCTTTCCAAATTTCGTAAATCGAGACCAAGTTAAGAGCAGAAGATAACGAAGTTTCGAATTACCAATGAAGTTGATGAGCTCGTCGATTAAGCAGGTCCAAGAGAAGCTTGTTGAGTATCTGAGAATCCTTGAGGAGAGAGAGGACCAAACAGGATTGAGAAAACCTGCATGCAAAAAAGAGGTGATTCAGATCTTATATCTTATTAGGATTTTTAATACTTTTCTACTTTCAATACTAAACACCAATACATTGTCTCAATTAAATGATTATTAATCAAATTCACTGGTTACTAACTTGCATATATAAAAAGATTGTTCAACATATATGGAATTACTAAAAATGAAAAAAATAATAATTGGAAACACATCAACCAAAATATCAAATACATAAAACAATGGAAAACTCTTCAATTTTCATTAGGACCACAACAAATAAAGACATTCGTACCTTGTGATCAATAAGATTTGTTCCTAGAGGAGAATAAGAGAAGCAAACTTTTGAGTTCCTAGAGTAGAATAAGATTTGTTTGTTCCTAACGTGAGTCCAATTTGTTCGGTCTTCAAAAGAATCTACATTCCCATCATTCCCTGAAGCTATAACCAAAATAAAATAAAATATAGGTCAATAAGACGATTATAATCACGTAAATAGATATTATTATTAATTGTGTTAAAAACCCAAGATCAATATTTTCTCACATATCATAGCTTCTACTCTTAATGACAATATAGAATTCTCGGATCTTAGTGTAGATGTTCTGCCTTTGGAAAGGTTACATTCCTTAAGCTGTAACAAACAAACAAAAAAATATTTGTGTCAATATGATGATTAGAATCTCATAAAAACCATTTTAATTTTGTATTTGCAAGAAGTTTAAAAACAATAATCCTTACATTTGAATTTGTCTTAAGCCTAACTTCGGTATAGTAATACACATATATAAAGCAGTTGAAGGAATTTGATAAACTCACATTTTTTTCTTTGTCACATATGAGGTTAGCAGCGTCTTGCTTACATTTGCAATCCCTCAAATAAGCAAATGATGTGGTTAGGTTTTTGAGCTTTTGCTATAGATCGAAATGGTATTGGTGTTTTGTGTGTTTAGAGGTTGAGTATTTATAATGTTTTGTTAGGTTATTATGGTTTGGGTTAGAGAATATTAAAAATCTTGATGATCAAGTATTTGATATCTTTGGAAATCTTTAAATCGTCACAAACTAAGAATATGCTACGTAGATGCTTAATCAAATAAGGATAAAATCTTTTAGTTATGAGAAATTTCCTATTCGATTAGTTGGATTGAATATTGAATTAATATGATTCAATTTTGTTAGGAAACAAATGCTAAATGCATTAAAATCTCTAGCATTATAATAGGAAACAATTTGTTGTGCAAAAATATATCTGTTAGGAAAGTCTCAGATTAGGTAGGATCCGATTGAAAAAAATAATAATTAAGGTTGTTATGGAATTAGTTCCAAAAATCAATGAAATTAAGATATCTACGAATATAATTTTTAGCTGTAAATGGAAATATGCTATTAAAAATCTTTAAAATCGGAAAGTTATAGAATATACCACATAGATGCTATAGAAAATAAGAGTAAAATCGTTTATTTATGCAAAATTTTCAATTGTTCTTGTTGCTATTGAATGTAGATGTTATATTGTTCAATTTTATTAGGAAACAAAAGATATTTGCCGAATATATTTAGCAATTAAATAGGTTGTGATTAACAAATCTGTTTTATTATCAGAATCTGTATTATTGATTGCGACCCATAATCAAATAACTAATGTCGTTTTAATTTGTTTTTTGGTAGGATTAGCAAGATCCGATTGGCTTTTGATTTTATGTAGGAAAGTTTC